TAACACTCAATCTAACTTGGCACGCTTTTCTTCGCTTTACACAGAAAGCAGTTTGTAGCATGGAGCAGCTGCTAGGAACCTCATGTCGTGTGCAGCTGGTTACATGTGTTATGTTGGTCAGTCCGCACTCAGCCTTTGAGAGATGGGTGCTGGAAAGCTAACTGACACCTGGGGTGAGGGAATGCATCTGAGTTCATACAACGGGCAGGTGGCCAAGCTGGGACAGGTTCCACGCCCAGCAGCCCGTCTCCAGGTCTGCTGGACTTCAAAGTCTGTGCGTCTAGGCAGCACTTTATGAAGTCGGTGATGTCTGCTGAGACACCCACTCTGCACCCCTGGAGGGCTGCTTCCCTGGTAAATTGCAGGGCTGCTGAGAATGCCCTGGCCAGCCTGAGGTTGCCAGTCTCCCTGATGAGATCTTTCTCCTTCCAGCTTCTCAAGCTTTGATTGTCCTGGGAAGCCAGGGTTGTGTGAGAATGAGCAGAGGACAACCTAGGCAATGAATCCATCCTCAAGTTCTATGTGTGTGATGGGAGGGAGATGGCCTGGGGGCTGGGATGCTTCCTGGAGGAGCTACATCTGGAGCCTTCCGGGTGCGGTCCTCAAAGCTAGAGCCCCTTACCCTCTGCCAAGGTGTCAGAGCTCACACGGGCCTAGCTGGCTGCTGGCTGGTCCTTCCTCAGGAGTCTCTCCAAGCCTTGACCCGAAGGGGCTGACCTGATCCTATCCCTCTTGCTTCCTCCCCAGGCCTACTCTCCTATTTGCTCCTTTCTATTTTCTTTTGCATTGGTTACCATTTAAGAGAAGGGCTTCTTCAGCAATTGCTTTTTTTAAAAAAATTATTTTAAGATTTTTTTTTTTTTTAATTGGAAAGGTAGTTACACAGAGAAGGAGAAACACAAAGAAGGTCCTCTGCTGGTTCATTCCCCAATTGGCCATAACAGCTAGAGCTGAGCCAATCCAAAGCCAGGAGCCAGGAGCTTCTTCTGTGTCTGCCATGCAGGTACAAGGTCCCAAGGCTTTGGGCTGGCCTCTGCTGTTTTCCCAGGCCACAAGTAGGCAGCTGGATGGGGAAGTGGAGCAGCAGGGATACGAACTGGTGCCAATATGGGATCCGGGGATTGCTTTCTAATGTCATAATTAAACTAGAGCATGAGATAAATGGAGGTAGTTTTGAATTTTAGCTTTATTTTCTTCACAGTCCTTCCGTTTCCTTTCCTGGATGGTGGTGGGTATGATCACCTTTTTTTCATAGTTGTAGGGAGGTTAAAAGGGGTGATCCATATAGGATAGCCCCAACATCCATTGTTTGGACTATGGTGGGAGCTCTAAGTAGCAGGTTTTTTTTTTTCCTTTTAATCACCTACAGATCCTTAAACCTGGTATAATCAGTTCTCATTCCTTTAGTTTCTCAAACTTGCCAAGCTTCTCCTGGCTTTACTGTCTTGGTGAATGCCACATACTTTCCTCTTAACCTTAAAGAGTTTCTACTCATAAATATATACATATAAATGTGAGAGATATATACATATATATATATTACATATGTATCCTTTAAAAATGCACTTATTTACTTGAAAGCCAGTTGCAGAGAGGGAGATGCCCACAAATCTCCCAGCCACGGGGTCACCTTCCCAAATGGCCACAACAGTCACGGCTGAGTTAGGTCAAAGAGCCTGGAACTCCACTAGGACTCCCCACTGGGTGAGTGGTAGGGAACCAAGTATTTGAACCATCTTTCATTGCTTTCCAAGGTACATTAGCAGGAAACTGGATTTCAAGTGGAGATACTGGGATTCAAACTGGTGTTCAGTTGGGATGCCAGTGTGGCAGGTGGCAGTTTGCCCCATTGCACTACTCTAGCATTCTTACTTCATTGGTTCTTCCCTCACACATCCACAAGTCCAAACTGATACAACACCTCCCCAAAAGGGCCCCTAATGTTCCATGGACTTCAGGCACGATCCACATCTGCTTCTCTTCTCTTACACTCTGTGCTTTCACAGGATTAAAGAGCATATGGAGTTACACAAGCAGCTTACTTCTATTTCTTACTTCATTGGACTGTGGACAATGGGCTTCAGTAAACACAGAGCCGTATCCTTGCTGTACAGGACAGTGACTGAGGAACGTGTTAGTGTCCTGATAGTCATTGGACAGATGCTTAGTGTCCAATGACTATCAGGAAAAATCATAATCTCCCCGGACTCTCACCAACAGTTCCCTCCTTCAGTTCCTCTCTCATTCTCTCCAAAGTAGATCATCTCTTCTTAAACCCTGGAAGGCAGCCCTTGCAGAGGCAGTTGTAACCTCTGTCCTAGAGAAGGTACCAGGTTTCTCAATGAAGTCACCTTGGAACCTTAGGCTGGGACAAGTCTTTGTTGTGTAGGATCATCCCACGCACTAAAGGATGATTTTCATGTTTTTGGCCCCTCCATGCCAAGTCATACCTCCCAGCCTTTGGGAGAATCCAAAAATATTGAGGTATTAATACACTGTAAACGCCCCATAGGGAGCGAAAAATCAGACCTTTCAAACCTTGGGCACATCTTTTTACAAGCACACTCAAGAAGAGAGAATTCTCTAAAATACTGAGATTGGGCCAATTCCCATCCACAGCATGTGGTTCTTGCTGAGACTGGTGAGACTAGGAAACAGAAGGAAATGGAGAGAACATGATCTGTGCTTGTCTCAAGGCTAAGGACAGCAACCGGATAAGTCCTGATAAGAGATGTCATGGCTATTTTCTATTTTCCTTGAAAGGAAAGATGCATCCATTGAGTCATCAAAGGCAGAAGAGGAAGGCAGTGTTAGGACACTCTGGGGGTAGCCTCTGACTCACTGTTTCGGAAGAGAGTTGTGAGTCAAGCCAACAGACTGCACATCTGATAGAGCTGAATGCTGGGAGGGCTTCTCAGGGCTATTGCGCAGGAGTGCTTCATATTTCATAATACCACACTGCCCCGAACCATCAGAAATGGGGAAGGATCAATAGGTACCTTCCGTGTTCCTGATCAATACTTAGTTCATTACTGTTATTTGCTTGTGTAAGACATTTTATTGATTGGACAATTTCAGAAATGTACTTGGGCCACTGACGAGTTCATCCAGTAATAAATAATTCAGCCTAGCGGGCAGTCACCTGAAACCAGATGGTATTCTAGTTAAGGGCTGTTTTGACCTGAGGTAGGCCTGACTCCACCTTTCTCTCACTGGTAAACTGAAGAACATAGGTCAGTTATCTGTAAGAAGTGATCATGAACAAGGAAAGCTGGCCTGGGCGTGCACTCATTCCATCATTCATCCTGTTTACTACCCCCCTCTTTTTTTTTTTTTTTTAGTTCATCCATTTTTCTTGACAGGCAGATTTACAGAGAGGAGAGACAAAGAGAAAGATTTTTCCATTCATTGGTTCACTCCCCAAGTGGCCAAAACAGCCAGGGCTGAGCTGATCTGAAGCCAGAAGCCCAGGAGCTTCTTCCAGGTCTCCCACATGGCTGCAGGGTCCCAACTCTACTGCTTTCCCAGGCCACCAATAGGGAGCTGGATGGGAAGTGGAGCAGTTAGGACATGAATCTACACCCATATGGGATCCCACTGCATGCAATTTAGTCACTAGGCCATCACATTGATGCCTATTTGCTCTTCTTAAGGTTGAGTATTTCTGGCAAGTGTACATTGAATGAGAGATTTAGAATCAGATAAGTCAGGACTGATTTCCTGCCTCTTTCTGAAAAGTGGCATGATTTTCGATCAATTGCTTGACCTTGCTCAATCAGATTTGTCATCTCCCAAGTGGAGATAACACACAGCAGCACACATCATCGGGTTGTTGTTGGGGTGAAGCAGGCAGACGCAAAGAAGGTTCCTTCTGCACCCCAGCTGGGCACATGTTGACCCTATTTGACATGTGCCAACTCAGTTTTGCAGCTGGACTCACTTTTCTTCTTTCTTCTCTTGAGTAACTTAAGTGAGGAGGAGAGGGACACAGCGGAGCAGAAAGGATCTAGGGAATCCTGACAATTGGGAAGAACAGTGCGAGACACATAGGCGAAAGTGGGCTTACTAAGCTTTAAGCTCAGTCCAGTCTTACATTATCTGCTGGGCTCTGCGTATGGGTCCAAAGGTTTTTTTTCCCAGAAATGCATTTCTGCACACTGTGACATCACACAGACCTGCCTCGCAAGCATGGATGAAGCACCCTTTGATGTGACTCCAGAGTACCACTACCCAAACAGTGGGTTGAAAATGCTACTATTGGGGCAGAGTAAGAACGGTCATTGAAAGCTGATGTTCAGAAACTCTGATTACAACTTGACACAATAGCTTTATGGGTGCCGAATCTGATAGCACCTAGGCACACATATTTTTATACATCTGTGTTTTCAATGACCTAGTCATTTACTTTTCACTGAATTAACTCTCACTGCCCCCAATTCTCTGGGAATTCCTTTTTATTTTACTTTATAGAACTATGAGCCCACAATGGATTGAAAATTGTAAAAACCACAACAAAACCCAAACCCAATAAAACAAAGAAAGATCTTCCTACATTGTTTGAGAAATGCTATTTGAGAATAAAGTCCAAACTTGTTCTACTGCACTGAAGAAAATAATTTTTCTAATTCAGAAAGCTCCTGAAGGATTGACATTGAGGCAACTTTTGATTTTCTATCTTCGTTCCTAAGAACAGGCCAAACTAATTGCTTACAGTTTGGAATCTTTATTGCTCGTAACATTTAAGCTTTGAGGAGCACAAGAATTGAGGAAGACTTTTTCAACTATGGAAAAGCTATAAATACCCAAGATGGTAATGAAACTTCAGAAAAAAAAATTCGTCTTGTAAAATAAACATCTTGTGAGGTAGATCAGTATGTATCAACACAGTGCAAAGCCCAAGAAATATCAGGAAACAAAGCAACACAAAAATCAGGAAAATGTACTTGTGAGCTAATACACAACAGATTAGTAATCGTCAAATTTGGGAGTATTGGGTCTTTAGAACATGATTGTGTTTTTATATTTGTTTCATCCTTTCATCTAAAAATTTTACCATGATTGCATGAAATTTTGTAATACAGAAGCGATGTTCACAGGTTGAATACTTTTTTCATTTTTTGGTCTTCAAGATGTGCTTGAGAGATTTTTCAGAAAAGCTAAGAGGAAGACACGTAGCAGGCCATGAATGTCTCGGTTCCTGTATCTTCTCCTGTTTGGGAGCCAAGTTCCATTTACCCTTTCAAGGCAAACTTGCAAATTCTCATCACATTGCTTCTTCAACAGGGAAAGCTTATTCTTATTTACCACACATGCATGGATATATTAATAAAGTCTCCCTATTATCGCTTCTTAGCCTTTCGGCTAACATCAGGTGCAGGTCTCCCTACGTTCCATTCCCAAGATTCAGAAAGAAGAGACGTCAGATGAAATCTTTTTCTGGATGTAAAAGACCTGTGTGTAGTCTGGGAGTGAGCCCAAGACCAGTAGGGCTAAGGATTCTCTTCAGGCATCCTCCAGGAGGCAATGAGCTATCATATTCCATCAATTCTTAGATAACTTTATTGTAAGAAACAGCAATTTTTTTAATGTCTGAGAAAGAAAAACATACTTCCAACTCAACTAGGATGCATGCTATCAACCAAAAGATGAATCTTGTTTCTCGATGTAAACAGGAAAAAAAAATGTGCATCTCGGAATCAATAAAATATGGTAACACTGAAACTACAAATCAGAAATCTTGCCTAATGTGATAACTGGAACTATATCTCTTTAAACATTGTGTGAACCTTAAACACAAAGGGAAGAATACGTAAACTGTCTCAGTAGCAAACCTTTACTTTATTGACCTATGTAAAAAAATAATAGGTCGTAAAAAGTCCAAACAGTAAAAGAATATGCAAAAGGCTATTTCTGTTTCTAGAAGGCGATACAAATATGCAAAAAAGGAATAAGTTATTTTTTTGCTTGTCTTTGTTTATCCAAAACTTTCCCCCAAACTTCATTTCGAATGATACAAATGACTGAGGACCAGTTTAACAAATCATTCTTTATGTATATATTACATGCTTTGGACTACAGTTAGAAAATGCTCCAAAAAAAGATGATTGGAAATTTCTCTATTTACAATATGAACAAGAAGTCTGTATAAAAAGGGGTGGAAGGGAGAAGCACCTTTAAAGGGATTTTGATGTAAAGACGACAAAAAAGAACGATGTGGAATACAGGAAGCATTTGTTCTGAGAAACTAACAAAATCCTCTAACAAACCATAGTTAATTAGCTGTTCCAAGAAAATATGAGGTAGTATTATCCTCATAATTAGACCTACTGCAGCTTGGAGGGGTGTTCTTTTTTTTTTCATACTAATTTTGTTTTTACCACTTAGTGACTTAGAATCGATAATCAGACAATACATTTTTAATGCTCATCACGGTAAGGCACACAAATTCATCCAAAATGATGTGGCTTTATGATTTTTTTCTTTTCTTTTTCTTTCTCTCTCTTTTTTTTTTTTTTTTTTTTTTTTTTTTGCTTTAGGTTCTTTAAAGTGACAGGTCTGCATCACTTTAAAATTCTTTCTCAAATTTAGGATTATGCAAACTTTTCCAATCTCCATGGCCCAAGGTAGCTGTGCCAGAGGGCTGTCGGCCTGAACTGGAGCCAGGGCTCATCATGCCCCTGCTGGAGAAGGAACAGAAGGGAGCTCCAGGACGCTGTACCTTAGAAAATTCTCCAAGCCAACTTTGTCAGTTTTTCAGTGAGCTGCTTCCTTTTTCCAATCTGCTTTCGTTAGGCAGTATTATGGGAGGATGCTACAGCTCTAAGTCTCTCCAGAACCCACTCCACGGTGCTTATGAAAAACATCACTCTATGTCATATCCTAAAAACATTTACACTCATTCACAACTTCATGAAAGTCCAACTTCTCTTCAAGTAATTTTCCAATACTGTCTAAATCGTCTGTGTCTGGGTGGGAAGGGCAGGTGCTTGTCCATCCAATTGCCAATCCTGCAATTGTGTTGGGGAGCCAGGACCCACTGCCCTGGTGTTCCTTCCCTCATCATTCTGAATTGTGCTCTGAGAGCTCCCCTTTTTCCTTTTTCTCATGTGCTTTCAGAGTTCCGAGGCTTGCCTTCTAGAAGCTTTAGTCTCTTAGAAAGTGCTTGCTCTTGTGGCAATGGTTCCATATGTGCTCACACCTGGCTGGGAGGGTTGGGCCTGGGGTCTGCAAGGCAAGTCCTCGCTTTGGGGGACTTTGCTGGGGTTAGCGTGCGGTTCTTATCCAGGGCATCCTCTCTTCCTTCCAGCCTCTGCGGCCTTCAGGTTGCAGGAAACAAAGGCCTGTGGGGAAGACGGGACACATTTCACAAGGCACACGAGTGTGAGAACACTGCCACTGTAGTTCAGACTAATGTTCCGGGCTTGGAGTCTTCGTGCCAGAAGAGCCTCTGCTCACTGCTTTCCAGGTCGTCATCCAGCTGGTTTCCATCCGCACCGTCCGGCGGCCCGGCCTCGGAGTACTGTCTATGAAAGGAAACCAGAACAGTTACTACCGATGCTCGCGTTTGTTCCTGCGCGATGGAGACTACCATGTTCAAAGAAGTTAGTAGAAAGCACGGTCAAGAAAAAAACAATCTTCCAGCACTTAAAAGCTGAGGCCAGGGACACTGGGCACTCCTTCCGTGCTGTCCTGGAGGACCGGCTAAGGGATTATCTAATTCTTTTGTGAGATATGCCTTTGTTTGACTTAGGTTTACCATTCATTAGGACCCAGACTACATTTAGTTACTTGTTAACTTGAAGCCTTCCGTCTGGAAGAAATGCAAATAACTTCTGTCTAATAGAAAGATTATAGTTGAGTTTTATTATTGTCCTGGTTTTGTGTCCACTTTAGTGAACTTAGGCTGGTATTCCTTTGGTGTCCTGGCTTCTCGTTGAATTTGTATTATCAATCTGTTACTTCTCTTATGAGACAGTTAAATAAAGCTTCTTTACATACTTGCTTTTCATTGACAGTTTTTCCAGCTTTAAAAAAAATATATTTTAAGTATTCTTCACGTTAAGGGAGTAGACTTGATGCTCACTTTAGGGGTGTCAGGAATCTATCCACAGGTAGCAGGGAATTCCTGGGACCTGGGATACAGCCCAAGGGCCGTGAGGTCAAGTGTGGATTGACGGTGACCCTAGAAACGGCACTGCATTTAAACATCGCAGCCATATCCAAAAGACAGCATTTGATTAGGTAAACCATTCCAACAAGCAAAACCACACCAACATAAGGGTAGGTTAGAAACGGTTAGCTGGTTAGTATTTTCCACTTTAAATTTCAAAGTCTTTAATACAGGCGATTAAATGGCTTTGGACGAACAATTTTCGAAATTAAGCAGCAGGTACATCCAGGGTTTTCTTTTTGAGTGTTTTCACGGAGCATGAAAACAAAGGCAGACTTCACAATTTCACAAATCGGCCAGGGCAAGCGCAGTGCCTGCTGTGCAAGAAGCACCACACACGGCTGGGAGAGCAGTACTTACTACATCTGGCTACACTGAGCACAACCGAATTTAACACTGATCTCATCTCTGCAGATAGAACCATTCTCCGGGACAGAAGCCCTGGGTTTTGCCTAGTCGCAGGTAGAGTTACAACAGGGAGAGGAAAAGGAATGGAAAATAGGAAGTAAGAGGGAAAAAACAAAACACCACATTATTTGGAAACACAGTTGGTACCAGAAGAGCCCAGACCCTGACTGCATCATATACTAGAGCATGTTAAGAGATCAACATTTTGGGCCCAGTGCAGCTAACGTCCTCACCTTACATGCACCAGGATCCCATATGGTCACCAGTTTATGTCTCTGCAGCCTTGCTTCCCATCCAGCTCCCCGCTTGTGGCCTGGGAAAGCAGTGGAGGATGGCCCAAAGCATTGGGATCCTGCACCCACATGGGAGACCCAGAAGAAGCTCCTGGCTCCTTGCTTCTAATGAGCTCAGCTCCAGCCGTTGTGGTCACTTGGGGAGTGAATCATCAGGTGGAATATATTCCTCTCTGTCTCTCCTTCTTTCTGTATATCTGACTTTCAAATAAAAATACATAAATCTTAAAAAAAAAAAAAAAGAGAGAGAGAGAGAAATCAACATTTTGATGTGGGGAAGTGTATGTCGATGATGATCACACCAAAAGAGACTAATACAGAAATTTTGTATTGGTCAACATTTGCATCTTTTTGTAGTATAAACACTAGAATACTCTGTAGGAAAAAAAGAACCTGAATGATCTACACTTTATTGAAGAAATAACACACTGATACATTACCAGCCACTTCATATCTTTAGCTTAATGGGAAGTTTCTCACTTCATCTTACTAATTTCCCTCTTACTTTAAATATTATGCTCATAGGGTCTGGTGTGATAACTCAGCTGGCTAATTCTCCACCTGCAAGCACTGATATCCTCCACAGGGATGTCAGTTTATATCCTGGCTGCTCCATTTCACATTCAGCTCTCTGCTTATGACCTCGGAAAGCAGTGGAGGATGGTGCAAAATCTTGGGATCCTGTACCCGCACAGAAGACTCAGAATAAGCTTCTGGCTTCAGATTGGCTCAGCTCTGGCCATTGAGGCCATATGGCGAAGTGAGCCAACAAATGGAAGATATTTCTCTCTGTCTTTCCTTCTCAGTAAGTAAGTAAAAAACAAAACAAAACAAAACAAAAAACATTTTTCTAGGGCCTGGCATGATAGCTCAGTAGCTAAACTCCTTGCCTTGAACTCATTGGGATCTCATATGGGTGCTGGTTCTAATCTCGGCGGCCCTGCTTCCCATCCAGCTCCATGCCTGTGGCCTGGGAAAACAGTCGAGGATGGCCCAAAGCTTTGGGACCCTGCACCCACATGGGAGACTCAGAAGAAATTCCTGGTTCCTGGCTTCGGATTGGCTCAGCACCAGCTGTTGCAGTCACTTGGGGTTGAATCATCAGATGGAAGATCTTCCTCTCTGTCTCTCCTCCTCTCTATATATCTGCCTTTCCAATAAAAAGAAAATAAATATTTAAAACATACATTTTAAAAAATCATGCTTACAATTTTGGAGCAGCTTCTAAATCTTCATGAATAACTTAATATTATTTGGTTTATTAACAATATCAAACTGATCAGACAACATTTTTAAAAAATGTTTTAATTCTAAACAAATAAATGGAAATTTATGATTTCTGAGGCTAGGAGAGTAAATGATGTCTTTCAGGAACAAAGGATTTAAAAATACACTTTTTGATTTAATGTACTGATTGTTCTATATGGAAGATATCCCAAAGAAATCATTTGAAATGTAGACCAGTGCTTTGCCTCAGATGCTAACAGTAGTATTACTTACATTAGAAAGAAAGACTAATTTACAATTATTCCAAAAATGAGGAGTTGTTAAATAAAGCTGGCATAATTACTAAGTGGAATATAATATTTGTTAGATGAAATAATATTTAAACAGTTTCACATGTTTGCTATACTTGGTTTAAAAGGAGGGGGAAGTATAGAATTTTACAAGACATAAAAATTACGCCGGGGCTGGCACTGTGCCACCACTATGGGGCCACCAGCAGTAACGCTGGCATCCCATATATGTGCTGGTTCAAGTCCTGGGTGTTCCACTTCCCATCCAGCATACTGCTATTGGTATAGTGGTTGTGTCCTTGTTACCCGTATGGGATACCCAGATAAAGCTTCTGGCTTTGGGCTGGTCCAGCTTTTGCTGTTGCAGCCACTTGGAAAGTGAACAATTCAAGGAAAACCTGTCTCTCTCTTTTCTCTCTCTGAGTTTCAAAATAAACCAGTCTTTAAAAAAATTGCTGGCCATGTTAAAAGTGGATGCAAAAAAAATGGAAGAAATATGTCAAGGTTTTAGTGACTCCTATCCTTCGAGGGTAGAAGTACGCCAATTTCCTACATACTTACACCTTTTCAGTTTCCAAATTTTTCACACTGAGTTCACATATACATGAGCATGTGTGCACATATGCGCACACAGACACAATAGGAATCTTTAAATAGCTTCAGATTTCCTGTACATTAGGTCCCTCTGACACCACAGCCCCCGAGTGAGCTGTCTTGGGCTACCAGAAATGCCTGGGTAGATGTAGTCAAACAGATTTTTTTTTTCCCCTTCTAAAGCCTTTAACACAACCCCAGCCCAAGAGAGGTGCTACTCAGGATATCAAGACTGAAAAAGTACAGCTCAGGTCTGGGGTCGCCATTTGGTGTCTTGCTCCAAACTCATGCTCTAACATTATTTACAGAAATCCCAGCTACTTGATGTACCCTGAAATATATTTTCATTAAAATTCTATTTTGAGAACACCCTTTGTTGAGTAGAAACAATTGGCTTAATATTTCAAGCCAAGAAAAGCTCTGGCTGATGTGGAAAAGAAAAACAAAGCTTTGAGGGTGGAGTATCTCTAATATGCTTGTAACACCAAGTGCTTCTAACCAACTGCTACCTCCCCAATTCACCAGTACCATGACTTTTGTAACTTACAGCCTGTGCGAGTCTCTTATGGCTAAAAGTGACGTAATTCTTACTAGTGACTCTTAAAAGTGACCTGACTCTTACTAGTGACCCAGAAATTTCTTATGGCTAAAAGTGACCTGCAAGCCCTCCCAAGAGGAAAAAACGCTCGGCTCAGGAGGAGGTGGTGAACGATGTGGAGGAAGTGGGTAGCGGGAAGGTCTCTAAGAAGAAGCCCAAGTGCTCTTCCATGGAGGAGCCTGGCAGCACCCAAACAGGCTGCTGGCAGCAAAAGCAGTGCCAAGGAATAGAAAAAGCTCCACATAGCCTCCCAGGAAGACTAGCTAGCACATACACTGCCTGGAGGGTATACCCAAAGGCAACCCTTCCCCCAACCCCAATAAGAACAAATTCTCTCTCTCTCTCTCTCTCTCACACACACACACACACACACACACACACAAAGGAGTCAAAATAAAAGTCTTCCCCCTCAATCAGAATATGTCTATTTCTTGGCCCTATGGCTGTGGATGATATTCTGTCAAGAAAGTAATTTGGAATTATGACCTCATGTTTCATTTAAAAATAATTCAGTTTGTAGAAGTCAAATCCATTTTTTTTAACAAACTGTAATGTTTCCTCTAAGGTTCACAAAGAACTGCTTTTGAAGACAAGCAGGACAGCTGGCCACGTTTGTTCCTTCGAAACAAACAGGAGTGACACCAAAAGGCAGCAGGTGTTTGAAATCAACTGTCCACCAACTGCCTGGGATGAACTTTGGCATGAACAGCTTTTTCTGGAGCACTCAGCCTTTTACCTCCTGCAAGGTTCCGGGAAAGACGTTAGTCTTTTAACGGACACATCGATGTACAGTTTCTACAGTACTATAATGAGAAGGAGACAAGAAACCTTCACACTCAGAATATAGAACGAGGTCGAATCTGAATGAGCAAGGCTGGCTGTCAGTTAACTTTTTCTTCAAGGGCCAGGTATTTTTCCACTCTGTTAGTCATAAATGGTCTATCACAACATTTCAGTTCTGGCCTCATAGCACCAAAACAGTCATCTATAACAGGTCAAGAAATGAGTCTGCAGAATCCCTGGAAAATTCTCTTTACAAATACAAGTGGCAGCCGGATTTGCCCTTAAGGCTAGAGTTTGCCACCCCAGGCTGGATGATTGCACACTCATCAAGACAAGTGGATTCCCTAAAAGCAGGACCAGGCTCCTGGAATGTGAGCACTGCTTTCTCACCTGCTGGGAGACGGCAGAGGATTGTAGACACTGCCATAGCAGCTGCTGTAAGAATGCGCTGCAGCCTCGTACTCGGAGAGCCCCACTGTCAACTGGGTCCTCCAGCTCCCAGAAGCGTTTGTAGAAGACACTGAAAGTGCAAATGGAAAGAGGGAACAAATTAGTGGCAATGTTCAGAAACTTCAGGTTAGTTAAATAATCATTAGTAAGTGGGGGGGGGGCCTTAAAAAATCATGCATAAAGAGGAGCATTCTCTTTTAGCTTCCATTTTTCATGAGTTTCTTGAAGTCCCTTGTATAATCAGCTGGGGGGAGAGTAGAAATTGAGAACCAGGATTTGGAATCAGCACAGTCACTATTCTAATTTGCTGGTTTTAAGTTTTAGCTGGTCTTAAAGCACCAATTTCCTCATGTTTAGAGTGGGTATAGTAAATATATTCTCCATAAGCAAAATAATAGGAATTTTAAAAAATATTTATTTATTTCTATTGGAAAGGCGGGTATGAAGAGAGGAGAGTCAGAGAGGAAGATCTTCCACCTGATGGTTCACTCCCCAAGTGGCCGCAACAGCTGGAGCTGAGCCAATCCGAAGCCAGGAACCAGGAGCTCTTTTGGGTCTCCCTCGTGCGTGCGGGGTCCCAAAGCTTTGAGCCATCCTCCACTGCTTTCCCAGGCCACGAGCATGGAGCTGGATGGGAAGCAGGGCCGCTGGGATTAGAACCAGTGACCATATGGGTTCCTGGCACATGCAAGGCAAGGACTTTAGCCACTACGCTATCACGCTGGGCCCAAAATGATAGGATTTAATAAGACAATGTGAAAATTGTTGACATCAGCAGGAAGCCAAACTCAGGAGTCAGAGACAGAACTTGAGCCCAGTTACTCCAATATGTGACACAGGTCTCTAAGCTACTAGGCTAAATACCTACTCAGTCAGCTTGTTGAGACTTGAATATTACTAAGTGAAAGGCAACAATGACCACTAGCAAGAATAGGTCATATTTTTTGACATTAAAAAAAAAAAGATGGGTGGGGTAGGGAACCAGTACAGGAAGAAACTCAGAAAAAAGAGATTTAGTCTTATAGAGGGACTAAATTGGAATAAGGCAAGGGCATGATTTGGGAGCAAAGCCCAAAGAACACCTCATCACCAGGTTTTCGCTGTCCCATAAGCCAGTCTTTCTCCATGCCTGGGATGCACAAGGTGACCAAAATGCCACATTGGGCAACCCAGATTCAAAGGGCAGTATCGTACAATCTTTCCTGTACCTTTGCAGTTTCCTATTCCTGGCTGCCAACTGACTCTTGTATTTGCACCCACAAAGCATCGGAAATTATAAAATTTCTACTATCATGTGTTAAGTCTCTCCCTTTTGAGTTACCAAGAACGTCTCCCAAAACGAATCAAAGGATCTGGGACTTGATGATGAAGATGTCAGAGCTGGACAGAAGTCCCACTCATCATCTTCTAACTTTGGGTAGGGGCAGGCCCATAGGAACTCTGGAAGTAGGAGCTGCCTCGGCTGCACAGTTAGGACAATAATAAACAACAGTTCTCACTGAGGAGAGCTGTCGCAGACATTAAAAGGAGAAAACATACAAAATGCTCAGCACACTATGTGGCATGTAGGGAGTACCAAGCCAATGGTGGCTGTCATTCCTGCTAAAACTGGGACACTGACAGAGCCTTTGGCTAGCCCAACGTGACTACAGAGATCACTAATTCAATAAAGTATCATCTTGTTTGTTGCAATTCCAGAATCACTAATTTGGCAAAGCATCAGAATCTTCTCTCTCTGTCTGTTGAAATTAATTTTTGTATTTGGACCATGAAGACAGGAACGAGGAAAGTCCCAGAAAGGAATTTGGGGAGCACCAATTCTCTCCCTTTAATTACTGAACAAGTGATGTCTCTTGGTCTTTAGAGTCACATCCTGGTGGTGACAGCAAGGGTTACACCAGAACTGAAGCAGGATGTATTTACTCCATTCTTTTTCTTGCTCAAAGGTGCTTAGCCAACAGATAGGAATGTTGAGGTTCCTGAGTTACACCTGCTTCCCCAGAGCCCTGTGCCTCATGACCATCCACAGGCATCTCAGTTCTCCTCATTTGCTTTTAACCTTGTCATGATGCACTGCCCAGGCTGGGGCTACCTATGAACTGTGGGCTTTGCGGGGGTGGTGAAGTGGGGGAAGGAGAGACAGATATTCTCTAGATCAGGGATATACATAACAAGCAGTAACTACAAGAACTTTTGCATATGCTAGATGTGGTAATAGGACAGATGTAGCACAAGTTCAAAGTCCTAAACAAACAGAAGTGTACTTGAACCCAAACAGAAATCTCCATGGAAACACCACTGTCAACAAGTTTATGAAACGTTTTAAGTGTGCACTGGATTGATCAATACACAATGACTTGGGAATTACCATGTCTCAATAAGGTGTCAAGCTTAAGGGAAGAGGCAGGGCTTTGTAGTTCATGAATTCATTCATTGCTTACAGGTGGAAAATTACTTGTCTTCAGTATATTCTTTGGCTCCTGACTAAACTCTGAGTTCATCACAGCTAAAGTTAGTTCAGCACTGTGTGGGTGTGCCTGCTCATTTGCTCAACACATGAAAACACAAGCAGATACTCCCTGAACCCTGTTTTTTTCTACTGGAAGTACACAGCATATCTGGGAGCTGGGGGAATGCACTAAGCCTTCCAATGATGTTAGTTGAACCAGAGACCAAAGTTAAGATAAAGGGTGTAAAACAGGACCTGTCACAATGGCTTGATTGGCTGAACATGCACCTCCAAGTTCTGGTATCACATATGAGCACAGGTTCTAATCCCGGCAGCTCCACTTTCCTTCCAGCTCCCTGTTTGTGGCCTGGGAAAGCAGTCGAGGACGGCCCAAAGCCTTGGGACCCTTCTCCCATATTGGAGACCCAGAAGAAGCTCCTTGCTTCTGGTTTCAGATCAGTTCAGCTCTGGCCATTGCAGTTCAGTTACTTGAGGAGTGAACCAGCAGTTGAAAGAGTTATTTCTCTCCATCTCTCCTGCTCTCTATAAATCTGGCTTTCCAATAAAAAGTAAGCTTAAAAAAAAAATGGGTGTAAAAGAAACATCTCTTCCAGTAAAAATTATCCCTAAAATGTCCTATGTCACCCACAGGACAGTGAGCGAAGGGATGTAAAGCACTTAGAACAGGGCTTAATAAATATCAGTACCTGTCAGAATTATTACAAGCCTCATGCAGCCTCCTGAGCCTTCCAAAGCAGCTTCTAGATAGTCAAGTCTCATGGCTTTAATTTACCACAGAGTCTAATCAAATCTTTGAAAATATAAACTCAATGAACTAAACACACTGAAGAAATATGGTAGTTGGTGTGAAGGTTATAAAGATATGAAAGCTTGAGTAATTGGGCCAGCAGCTTACACAAAGAGCTGGATTGCATTTCTGGCTCCCAGCTTTGACCCAGCCAAGCAGCCCTGACTATGTGGACATCGGGGTAGTGAATCAGCGCCCAGGAACAATCTGTTTCTCCACTTCTCAAACAAACAAACTTCTAGAGATTGTGTGTTGGAGTGCACCTAAAACTCGCTTGATCAGACTCACGTGCTCTGTGTTCTTCAGACAGCTGGAGAGAACTGTTTCTAAGTGTGGTTTTCATGAATGGTTCCCACTGCTAAGGACTTTGGGTACTGGTGTCATGATCCTTGAGCAGGGGGTTTGGGGAGGCAGGGTGAGACCCAGATGTGAGACCCAGGTGTTGTATGCTTCCCCCGTCTCTTTACCTGAAGAATAGGAGGATGCTCGGCTACTTGGAGAACAGGGCACTTGTAGTCCAGAGAACCCCAGGCATCTTTGCGATCCCCTATCAGAGTCAAAGCTAATCTGGGGGCTGTGCCCCGGGTCCTTTTGCCCAGAAGCCCGCTGGTACCAGCCACGCAGGTGCTCGGCAACTAAGGCCTTGTGGATGTTTTTGGTGATGTGCTCAGGTTTTGCGGCAGCCTTCCTGGGCAGCCGGAGGGTTGCATATGGGTTATGGGGCACCAGGTCAACCTCATCTTCATGAAAGGATCTGCTGTAGTCCCGTGGGCGGTCATAGCAATAGTGGGCTGAGGACCGGTAGGAGGGATTGACGCTATACTGTCCCTCCGTGTCATTTTCATACACGTAGCCACCACTGTAATAGAGGTCACACTCCGCGTAGGGTGCGTATCCAGTGATGTAGTAACTGGAAGAAGGTGGCTCCTGATTCTTCATGTAGACACCGTTTCTCAAACTGTCCTTCTGTGCCAAGTTGGGCATGCTTCCGGAATTTGAAGTCAAGACATTGTGTTTCTTTGATCTTCTCCGACCCCGGGCACGAGTGTCCAAAGTCTGGGTTGTGTAATAGGGGCCGGCAACAGGTGTCACACAGTAATATTCTGTGCTTGACTGGCTGGTGTAGGAAGACCCATCATCAAGGATTTCAGTGCTGCTGCTTCTTTGGGATTTGGAGAGAGAGAAAAATGGCTTCTCATTGTCCATCTCAGACAGCAGGTGGGACTGGGACTCGAGGCTTCCACTCCGCTGGCGGCAGTGCTGAGATGAGGCTTCAGGTCTGAAACAAAACAAATGTACGTGAGAAAGGAAAGAAGGAAAAGAGGGCCAAAGAGTGGGGAAAAAAGCTTACAATGGATGACTGCATAGCTCTTGCACCCCAAGTATCCTACAGAATGCGTGCTCACACAGAAGTTCATTATCACAGTCAAAATGACAAAGAACCCATTTATGTCAGTGCCCCAGGCCAAAAGATATAAACCGACGACAATGACGACAATGATGATGATGTATGATCTGCATCAAAGCCTGAAAAACAGGCAGGTGTTTGGGTCAGCAGTTAAGACCCCCACTGGAACAGCCACAACTCAAACTGGAGTGTCTGGGTTCAAGTCTTGGGTTAGCTCTTGATTCTAGTTTTCTGATAAGGGAAGGTAATAGGTGATGCCTCAACTACTTAGGTCCCTGTTAATCGTGCGGAAAACAAGGATTGAGGTGCAGGAGTCTGGATGTGGGTTGGCTCTGTCCCATCTGTTTCAGGTTTTTAGGGGAAAAATGAGTAAATAGGAAGGCACAATTTCTACATCTGAAAATAACAAATAAATAAGTGAAAGCCTGAAGAAAAATCTAATATGCTTTTGAAAGATTCTCTCTTCCAGCACAACGTTGGCATAAGCGAGATTGGAAATGAGGAGACCATGTGTGATGCAGCAGATCATGGGCCCTGAGGTCATAGGTATCTATCTGCCCCGAGTCGTGATTCTGCTATCTCCCAGCTGGGGTAGCTTGTGCAGCATATTTAGCCTCTCTGCAACTAACCTCCATTTTGTAAAATGAGACAAAAAGAGTATCTAATATCCACCTCACCATAGGCTATTTGTGGGCACTAAATAATAAATTGCACATTAAACATTTAGCATAGCTCTCACTAAACCTCTTCAAAAACACCGCTGTTACTACGCTCTTCATCTTCACCACTGATATCAAGGGACATTGCCTGTACAAAAACATGGAGGTACTGAAACCAAACACAGCTTTCATATACTGACCAATCAAAAACTGTAAGCTTGTAGAAAACAAAGAACCAGAAATGCAATGAGACACTTAAACGATGAAGGAAAACCAACAAAGCAAGACAAAAGCTCAAAGAAAAAAAAAATCAACAGAGCCAGGAGGTCAGGAGGAAGGAAGCTGTCTTACTCCAAGTGGCTGCTGCTGTAGGCGTTGCGGGTGAGGACCGGCGTGGTGGGCATGCTCCGTCCTCCTGGGGGGCGCCTCTCCAGAGTCTTGTAGGGACTGCTGTGTGTCGACAGCATCTCTCTGTTGTGACAAAGCAAGGGAGGGATTTCAGCAAACAAGCCACCCATCAGCATCTCTGACAGATGTGTCAGAAGCTCTGAACAAGCAGAAGGGAACCCAGGGAGAAAGATGGGAAGGGATCTCTGTGATTTCATATTCCGGACTGGGAAGCACACGTAGTGTGACTCTCAGCATCACAAACAGGATGGCAACCTGGCCCAGACTTGGGTGTTATGGCCATATGGGGAGTGATTCTGCAGACAAAAGACATCTATCTCTCTTCCTTTCCCTGCCACTCTGCCTTTCTTTTATTCTTAAATTTTTACTCATTTATTTTAAAGATTTATTTGTTTACAGAGAGAAGGGAAAGACAGAGCTCTTCCATCCACTAGCACATTCCCCAGATGGCAGCAACAGCTGGATCTGGGCCGGACTGAAGCCAGGAGGCTTCTTCCAGGACCCTACGTAGATGCCAGAGCCCAGGCACCTAGAGCACCACTGATTTTCCAGTCTGTTCTTCAACTTTAAAAAATAGAAAATGTCCATGTTCTGACACCTGACCTCTCAGGTATAATCTCAGATACAATACATACCGCTCTTACTTTTTCTAATAACTTGTAAGCATCTTATAAGTTGGGGGAAGTAAATAGGAGAGGAAGAATATCCCTGTCTATGTGATGGTTCACTTTCCAAATGCCTAAAAGGGTTAGGGCAGCGACAAATCATAGCCCACAGCTAGACAGCCAGAGTCAGGAGCTAAGAGCTCAACCTAGGATGGCTCATTCACCTGGGAGACCTATCTTACATTCCCAGGTATCCGCTTCGATTTAAAGGCCTTTAGGCAGTGAGCCAGTCAAAGGAGCTCTCTAATTTTTTTAAAACAAAAAAATACGGTGTATTGATTCAAGACTCATTTAAAAAATACTTAGGTTGTGCCTATTGCTTCAGATTGCCTAAAATTTGCCTGTAATATTATTTTAATAATGACAGTATTTTACTGCCATACCTACACCCCATATCAGAGAACCAATGCAAATCCCAGTTGTTCTGATTTCAGTTCAGCTCTGATAATGCACCTGGGAAAGTAGGGGAAGGTGACCCAAGAATCTGGGCCCCCGTCACCCATGTGGAGACCTTGGCAATTGGCTTCAGCCTTGGCTGTTGAGGCCAATTAGAGAACGAACCAACAGATGGAAGATCGCTTGCTTTGTCTCTGCCCTTCTTTCTCTGTCACTCTCCCTTTCAAATAAATAAGTCTTAAAAAAAAAAGCAGAAATAAGCTACTCACTTTGTTAGAAATTTCACACCATGTGGTATTAACCTGAGTGATGTTATTCCCATTTACCTGGAATGCCTGGTATCCACAAACTGATCGTTGATGGATGACTTTCTGAAATGAATTCGCTCAATCCCGAGAGACTTGGGGGGCAGAATTCTGGGAGAATGAGGTACTGAGCTTGATCGCTGCCCAGCAAGAGTGAAGGCATCAATGGCTGAATGAGTCAAAAAGTAAGCAGGTTAACAAATTAAGCAAAAGAAATGCTTCGCCAACATCACTGAAAAAGAAATCGTAAGGTCTCATGATGAACACATTCTCCTAAAGAAGATGCTTTTAGAAGTGATTAGCTTTCCAAGAAATTAATTCTTTATTTTATACTGAGAAAAAAAAAGGAATTCCATGGGGTCTGAAGCAACTTTTGCAAATGCAATAGGTGTCACTCTGAGATCACTCAGATGGAAAGGAGGATACCATATCTTTTTCCAAGTTTCATGAAGGAAAATCCCATGTGTCAAAGGCCAAGAGGAAATTGCCTGGAATATTTTCATTCACCTTTCCTTTTAAAATTCTAATGATGTAATGGCTACCCCGAACAACTGAGAATTTTTTTAAACCTTACGAAACAATGAAGTTTTATACCACAAAACATCAGGGAAGATAATGCAGTCAGGACTGGGTAGGAGTTAGCAGCTTCCCAGAATTCTTTGAGTCACACCAGATGGAGAGTCAATCCACTGGACTAAGTACAAGGGATCACAGGAAATATTCCATCTTTTGCTATGAAGCCCATTCCATCATGCAATTTGCTGAACTAACACAGAGCATTACGACATAGCTGACCTTAACGAAATGACAACACAACAAGAAACTCAATCTCTAAGATATGTCTTTGTTTTTATAAAAACTAAAATTAACTCTCATTTATCTAGGATACAGTGATAACCTAGTAAGTCAACACTACAACAGCCTGGTTTGGATATTAGCCTCCAGATATATTCAATGTCACCATAGGGCAAAGTTGGGTGAAGAGCTCTAACCATTGTGGCAAGTCTCAGTGACTCTATCATTAAGAAGCTAAAAGAAAAAAAAAACTCAAACTTCTTATTGGGAGACTTCCTCATGGTCAGTTCTCTGAAGTCAATATAATTTTGACAGTTTTGTTTCTAACACGAAAAGATAGCCTGAGCAGATGTTTTCCACTTTGTATCAGTGAAGTTAAGGCTATTTTTTTTTCTAAAAGACAAACAAGTCTGCTTTACCTAGCTGAAGCAATGGACATTTCAGAATCTGTAACATGTTCCAACCGAGAGAAGGGAATCTACTTACGTTCGTCAGAGGTGGTGGTGTCAGACAAGGAGCTGCTCTCTGAAGGAATTATGTCTTCTGTGAATACAAAGAGGCATGTTCAATATAATTGTGCACTTATACAATTTGAGTTCAATGAAGCAATTTTCAATGGAGTACATGCTATTGTCATTTAATTACATGTAACTCATTATAGAATATTAAGAATAATAATACAGATAAGAACTGATTCATGTTCTGTTGAAGACCAAAACATCTTATGCTTGTATAAATATTGCATTAGATTAGCATCATCCCTCAGTAACTGTGGGAGGATTAATTCCAGGATCCCTTGTGGATACTAAAATACATTGGATGTAGGTCATGGTGCACCAGGTTAAGCCAACTCTTGCAATGCATTTACTATTTTTGTTGCCTGTATATAACCTTCATGTTAGAAATGAGCATTTGGCCCTGAGTGTTACCAATACCCATTGTTTGTTACATGATGTCTTTATTACAAAGAAACATCTCAGTTATGCTGATATGCTTTAGCAAATTACTCTTTTGTAGTCTGAGTGCTTGGGCACATGGTTCTAGGCCTCAGAGTATGCTTGAAAGCCACTAGGAAGGGAGCCTTGGCATCCAGTCTCAAATGTTGATCTCTTTCTGACCAAGTAGACCACCTCTTCATTAAACACACTGTGGAGCTTGAAGGCGAGGTGCCACTACAGTCAGCTGTCAGGCACACTTAAACCATTCTATCCAATCTATGTTCAACATCTGCTGCCCAAATGTCATTCCTGGTAAAGGAGAACACTTGAATCTTACACAGTTTGAGGATGAATGGGTTACAACAAATGGTCTGAGAGCTAAGTGCAAGGCTAATCGCCAAGCTCTGGCCAACCAGAATGTGACTACTGCCAAAGACAGTTGGATTTCATAGCCAGAGTCAAAGCTACCCTAAGTGTCTCTTTTCTAAATAAATTGTTTCCCTAAACCTAAGGATAGCCCAGTCAACAAACTTCATGAAATCTAAAATATATCAATATTTTATGCCTCCATTTAAAAAAGGAAAAATTGACTCTAATAAATATCTAGGTGATAAACTACCTCCATTTCACAGATATTAAAATGAAAAACAAAACAAAACAAAAAAATTCTCTCCAAATCAAGGGAATACAATTACATTTCAACCAATAACAAAGGATGAAAACCACACTAGTACATAGATAGGGTCAAGTGGAACTGAGTAAGAACTTCTCAGTTTCCTTTCTGAATACAAAAATCATAAAATACAGAAAACCATTAAACTACTTAAAAATTCCCCAGATTTTAGTATTTTGAAATAGTTCTCAACAAGTCTTCACATGTGCATGGTTATATAAAGTTAGGATTATGCTATGGTTACAGTTTTGGATCCCACCTTCCTGCATCTCATGTCATACGATGACCACTTGCCCACATCTTTAAATAGCCTCCATAAATGAGACTTCTCTACCCACACTTGAATGGAGAGGTCCTGAAGAAAATACATGCTCACTGCACCAAAAACCTTTCACACACTATTGGGTGAGCCCTGGTTCTCTTAATACCCTGCGTTATTAAAAGGCATTTCTGGCCCTGACATGAGCCGAATTAAAGGTGAATCTGTCTCATTAAAAGCCAATACTGCTATGAAAGCTCTTTCTTCCTGAAAATTAGAGCAATGCAATTGCAGAATATTACAATCGTAAAAATAAAACTGAAAATCAAGTTTACAGACTGGTAAGACACTCTTTTTCAAATGAGCTGGTTTGGAAATGATATGTATTGTCCAGAGTTCTCTCTGCTGCACTTAAAATACATCTTTCCTTTTACGAACCTGGTACGAGAACGGTTCCTTTCTGGCTCGGTTTCTTTCCGCACCGAATTCGGTATTCATTGATTGCATTTTCAATCTCCTGAAGCTTTTTCACGGCATCTGTGTAATCTTGTTTTCGCTTCTTCTTCACAGTTTTACAAAGGTCTGGTTCACTGGCAAGTTTCTTTGCAGCCTCAACTAGCTTTTGCTGGATTAGAAAATTACTTTCCAGGTCTTGAAGAGCCGGGTCCTGCATTTACACAAGGATGCTGTTTTAGTTTTACAGACACATACAGTCATTCTCCCAACACAGCAGATAATAAACAAACCTTCTTGTGTGTTCCCAAATCACAGCTCTTTGAGAATAAAAGATTTTCTTCCCAATTGTATGGCACAGACAATCTCAAACACTTTCCAAAAATACCATCTCTTACCCATGTCAATTTGTACTTCTCATTGTTCTAAACCTCTTTCCTGTTTAAGGGATTGGCCCTTCATGCACTCGGTTGGGAGATCACAGTTTCCAAGAAGGTTTAATAACCAAAGACTCATGGATGCAGGATTCTATATTCTACACTATGGCTTCGGAGACACATGAGTTTGGGTGTGACTCCTCTTTTCTGGTGGTTTCTGGTTGCAGAACCATGGACACACTTGCCTCATCTTTTTAGTGTTTTCATTTTTTTTTTCCCTTTTGCAAAATAACACCTAACAGTGTGCAGATTAAATGCAATGATATTTAAGCTTAACCCAGAGTTGGATATACAACTCCATAAATAACAAAGCTATTACTGATAGGAACAGTAACCATTTTCTAAGGCTATGATGGTTACATTTCTACACTTGATCTTAGCCAAAAGACCAAGAAGCAATGATGGCTACATTTCTGTAAGAAACATGGATAGCAGTATTTTGGCTGGTGACATGCAAATGAAAATGGGCTTTCTATTGGCTAACCAATCTCCTAACAACAAAGCTGAGTGCTGTGCACATGCTATCTAATACTGCACCTCTTATTACCTTCATTATATGAATGACAGAACTGAGACCAGAAAAATGAGACTTTAGGTTAAAGTACTAGTCAAAGGTTAGAGATAGACTCTAATGGTGGAGTTCCTAACTCTTATACTGCTTTTCAAGTATAAACTTATGGGGTTCATTGAATATTTGCTCCAATTTGGGGAGTAAAGTTGATGAGAAATAGCTTAAATATTTAAAAAATTTTTATCTTAAAAAATCTCATTAATTAATTAATTTCAAAAGTGGAGAAAGAGACAAAGAGAGAGAGCAAGAGAAATAGAGAGATCTCCCATCTGTTGGTCCATTCCCTAAATGGCTGCAATGGCTGGCGCTGGGCCAGGTACTCTTCCCTCATCTCACAAGTGCCTAGGCCAAGTTCCACTGACTTCCCAGGTGCATTAAGGGGAAGCTAGATCAGAAACAGGGAAGCCAGGATGCTAGTGCTCTACATGACAACTTAAACAGCTGTGCTATACCAGCCTCTGTAGCTTACTTTTAATGGGAGTATACATGAAAGAAAGAATTCCATTTGGCCTATGCTATCCATTTCAATTGGTCACACAGACACACACACAGAGACAGCTGCTGTTTGTTTTAGCCTAGTGGTTGAAAATTACATCTCATAGAAGTGTAACTGGGTTGGACTCCCAGTTCCACTTCTGATTCCAGCACCCTGCAGACGTGCATCCTGGGAGGCAGCACGTGATGGCTCAAGTCCTGGGAGCCCAACTACACATGCAGGAGATGTACACTGATCTCCTGGCTCCTGGGTTTCACCTGTCCCAGACACAGCTGTTGTGTGCTTTTGGAGAGTGAACCAGTGGATGGAGTGTCCTGTGCTTCTGTCTTTCTTTTTGCATCCTGAAAGAACATTATACCTCCTACCCCCTCCAAAAAACAAACAAACAAACAAAAGCAGCAGTGACCCTAAGCCAACGTGCCCACCTCCTCGCTGGGCAGTGAGCTGTCGTCAAGTTTGAATGCAGTACCCACGCGTCTTCTGACCTGGGGCGGCTTCTCGCCAATGCTCAGGGGGTACTCACTTGGCATTTTGCCTGTGAGCTCCTGTAAAACAGGAAGGACACAGAATCAAGAGGCAGGTCACTGACACTGGTCGGCATTAAGATACTGTCGAGAGCTCAGGCAGCTCGAGACACTCACAGCCTCGCGCAGACAGATCTTCTTCAGCTCCTCGACTTTCTTCAGGAGTTTTTCCTGCAGCAGCTTTTCTTTCTTCTTGAGTTCCAGGATTTTTTCTCTCTTCTGCTCCTCGTTCACTTCTGAGTCTTGGGAGCCTGGTGGGGAGGGGGGAAGGGCAGGGAAGGTTTACACAAGGCAGGTTTCCTTCCTTTTTAAAGGACAAAGGATTTTTAAGTTAAACCTGCTATTAAATGCTAGTTTCTTTCTTTTCTCCTTGTTTCTGAACATAATCAAAGGAAACCGGAGAACATTTTTCTCATGCTTCTGGGCATCAAACAGAGCCTGGTAATAAAATATGCCTTTCGCATTCTGGCTTAGTCATTTCAGAGGCAATGACAAAATGCACACTATATTAGACACACCTGAGGAAAATTCCATTTTTCTGGGCAGGAGGGAAGGTAAGCTGCCCTCTGGAACAGCTTGTTTGTGTTGTTTTGCATTTTTAAAAATTTGTTTCTTTGTTTTCATAAAACAAACAAGCAGGGTAAAGAAATGTGCTGGGCACAGGTTTATGCTGCAGATTCCCAAACTGAAAATGGGATTTAGATGGGAAAAATCATTTAATCACAGGGACATACCCTCAGTAATAAGAAATTCTAGAATTTCTAAGGAGGAAAGGCTTAGGGGCAGCAAATGACATTTGAAAGCAAGTTTTACAGCACTCTGTATTCAAGAAAGAACTGGATAAACCCTATATCAAAAACTAAATATTAAGGGAAGAAGTTGAAGGAACTTAATAAAGAGAAAATATCCTTTCAAGTCACTTCAGGTATCCATGATCTTTACATCTAGAGATACTTGTATAATCTGGCTATAATCTGTCTTTATATCTTTCAAAAGTTACTTTAGAAACTGTACTCCAAATATATTGCATATTGTAGGCTTTGGTATGTGTTTATCCCAAAAATAATGCATATAAGATGCATTTAGAGATGGCAAAGGTCCAAAGAAAACATGTTAACTAGAGATGGCATAAACTTCCTTTAATCCCAAAGCATTACCTGAGGAGATTAAACTGCCATTGCTTGCCATGATGAGCTGACCTTTCGCCTCCAGTGTCACCAGCTTGGAAGCCCTCTGGGTTCCTGTCTCTGTCAAATCCATTGCTATGTCGTCTAAGCTCCTGGCTGAAGGAATCTTTGCCTAAAAGGCACACACCATTGAAACAGAATAAATGTAATCAAATGTGTTTTAATCAATATCAAAGTAACAACAGGTCCAAATGAAATTAAGCCAATTAAAATAATAAAAGCTAATTAAATTAAATATGTTTTAGGTTGGTGACATGATGATTTCAGCAGAGAATAAGGCTAATATAGAATTCTTTGATAATTAAACTGATACTGTTTGGTAAATATAAGACTTAAGCTTTCCAGATGAAATGTTTCAATAATTTTACACAATCATCTCTCGTGACATGATTCATGCACTAATTTAATATAAAAAATTTTCCTTAATTATTTATCTGAAAGGCTGAGAGACAGAGAGTCATCTTCCATCTGATATTTCACTGCCCAAATTCCTCCAACAGCAGAGTTAGGCCAGAAACCAAGCCCCAACACAGGTGCCGCATGTGGGTGGCAGAAACTCAACGATTCAGCCCATCATTTGCTCTCTTGGATGGGGAGCTGGAATGCCAAACATAGACTCTGATATGAGCTGTATTCAACACAAGCAGCTTCTTCTTTGCTGCAAAAAATGCCTATTTCAGTCACTAACTTTAAAATGTCACCAATGCACCTAGTCAAAAAGTTGACCAATCTTACAACTTTAGTTTCAGCTTATTTACTGCCGATGTTTTCACATGTGCAAAACACTAAAACAGCTGGTAGTAAGGTTAAAAGAAAAAACAAACATCCCCAAGCACAAAAATGTATATGCTTGACCGCTCTGTAAGAAAGCTTATAATCTGAACAGAAAGCCAAAGAAAGATAAGTTCGTCCCTATGGAACACTTTTTACTTACTTTACTTTGCTTACGGTCCAGGTAAAATTGATGCTGACTAATTGCCATTACCCAGATGGACTTGATGAGAGAAGAGCTTGCATACCACGTCTGCACGAAGAGGCCACTTTGCCCAAAGGTCCTTCTTGACACTGAAATTCTAAAAGATTAAGGACAGCAATTATGTTATTTGCCTCTGCCCCAGCAGGAGCCCAGAATATTCTTATATTCTGTGAGCAATGGGGATTGTTAGCATCCTTCTTAATTGTCTTTCTGCTGCATTATCTTAGGCTGATGGGGTGTCCCAGTTTCGGATTTTCTCCATTTATGATAAATCTGATCAGACCTAGGTAATCCTTTCCATATCAGCTAGCATATTGATGAAAGACATGCATGCACTCGATAGACTACACAAAAACAGTTCCTTTGAAATCATAGGTTGTGCAACCATCACAAATGGTAGGGAATAAATGACAGATTAAGAGATTTAGCCAGTCCTAGCATCATCAGAGGATGAGCAGTTATGTTGGCTGAAAACACTCGAGTCCAAAACTGGCCGAGAGAGCTGCTTTTGCATCAAAAGAAAAAAGGGGAGTGGAGATGGAGGTGGGGTGAGAGACAAGAGAAGGATGGAGGCAGATCCTGTGTGCCTGTTCCTGTGGGGGAAGGAGGAGGAGGTTACAAATGCTCATGGCAGGAATCTGTCTTATCTCTGAGGGTCAACTTTTTGCCACAGTACTTCCTTCCATCCCTCTGATTTCCAAACACCAAAAAGCATTCTCTTGGGACAATGTAAAAAGGAACTAAGAATTTCTCTTAAGAGCTCAAAGAACCTACATACTAACCTCAAGTCACGTTAACAATTTGTCAACTATATTTTACTTAATAAGGAAGAACAAATGAAAATGAGCAAACGATTTGGATAGAATTGACACACATGGCCAATAATCCCATAAAATGATGCTAAGTGAGGTAGGCATTAAACATATTATATTGGGGATCCTAACTAAGGTCAAGCTCCTGATTCTTGCTTTCTGCTAATGGGTACCAAGGGAGGCAGTGAGTGATAGCTCAAGCAATGGGGTTCTATGTGAGTTCTGTGCTCTGAGCTTTTGCTTGGTGCAGTCTCAACTGTTAAAGGCACATGAGTAGTGAACCAGTTGTCTGTCTCTCTACCTATCAAATAAATAATAATAAATAGCTCAACCATCATTAGTCATGAGGGAAATGCATATCAAAATGATGTGGTACGGTAGATGAAGATGCCACCTGTGGCACCAGCATCCCATGTGAGCACCAGTTTGGGTTTGGGTCCATGCTAATGTATCTGAGTTAGACCAAGGTGCTTGGGCCCCTGCACTCATGTGAGAGATCTAGAGGAAGATCCTAGCTTCTATCCTCAGCCCAGCCCAGCTCTGGCTGCTGTAGTCATTTGGGAAGTGCACCAGCAGATGGAAGATCTGAATTTCTGTGTGTGTGTGTGTTTGTATGTCTTTCTCTCTATTTCTGCATTTCAAATAGTTAAATAAATCTTAAAAAAAAAAAAAGGAAGATACCACTTAGCAGGCTGATTATAAAAGACAAATATCCATACACCCCAAACTAAAGATATCAAATATTAGTAAGGACAAGCTGGAAGCACACATAATGCATGTGGAAATGAGTGTGAAATGGCCCATCATTTTGGAAAAGTTCACGGAGAATGCTTATTATGAAAAAATTATGGGACCCAGCACAGTAGCCTAGTGGCTAAAGTCCTCGCCTTGAATGCACCAGGATCCCATCTGGGCGCCAGCCATTTCTAATACCGGTGGCCCCGCTTCCCATCTAGCTCCCTGCTTGTGGCCTGGGAAAACAGTGGAGCGTGGTCCAAAGCCTTGGGATTCTGCACCCACGTGGGAGACCCGGAAGAAGTTCCTGACTCTTGGTTTCGGATCAGCACAGCTCCGGCTGTGGCAGTCACTCGGGGAGTGAATCATTGGACAGAACATCCTCCTCTCTGTCTCTCCTCCTCTCTGTATATCTATCTGCCTTTCCAATAAAAATAAATAAATCTTAAAAAAAAAAAAACCTATGTGTAAATTTTAAGACTCCCTTGCGCTAAAATAAAATAAAATTACTCTTTAATTCTATCTCTCTGCAAACTCCTGCGGGATACACTTGGATAATCGAAAGAGATGCAAGCATGTGTTCATACAAAGACCTGGACACCAATACTCGAGGCAGTATTCATCACAGTGACTAGGTCACTTCAAGTCTCTTCTCACCTTCGTGGGTCGTGAACTTCAACAGCAAACTTTTTCTCACGGAAATACAAGTTCTCCAGCTGCTTCCACTGGAATAACTAAAAGATTAAGAAAACAGAGAAATCACACACCTTTCGTTATTTTTATTTCTGCTAAGATGGATAAGCAAGTAATGAAGTTCATAAAATAACACCAGCAGAGGACACATCTATGGGTGATTCAGTTGGCTGTAGAGAAGTGTAACCTGAAACCATTTCAGTTTTTCTGACAGCGGCTTTAACTATTAAGCGCCACCTCCCCAGTAAATCTTTGCTGAACAATAAAACCAAGCATCCGTGGGGGTACTGGCTTTTTCCTCTGACTCAACTACGAGGTAAGGAAAGCAGCACAGATTCCGGAAAGCACCAGCCCAGAGCTCACAGTTGTTCTTTTCATATTTAAATGGAAAAGCATTCAAAAGCAAGATAAGCGATTACATTTCAAAAGAATGCAAAGTGAAAGTAACACGAACACCCCCACCACCACCACCACTAGAAGGGGTGATCCTCCGTGCTAACATTTCCTACTTCGGAAAGTTCCTCTAAATGCCCCAAAACCTAACAGGAATTGGGGGAGGGGTGAGGGTGGGAGTGGATGCTGAGCCTGCCTCTAGGTTTCTGAGTTAGAAACCTAGAGGTTTGTGTCAACCAACAAATCTCTATATTCCCAGAGCTGACGCTCAGTTTAGTGTTGTGGGTGGTGTTTTCTGTCAGTAGTTTAGAAGAAACAGAAATGTGCACCTGAAAAGCAAATAATATGGTAAGAAGCAGCCCGTTCAGAGAACCCGATATGCCTTGGTGTGTTTTCTGGGCTCATTTCCCAAGCGGATATTACACCTTGCACCGAGCCTTCACCAGCACCGAGAACTCTGTTCCATGGTGAGATCTCAATGGCAATAAAAAAAAAAAAATGTTCAAAGACCTTCACAAGGGAGTTTTTTCAAGTTGTCTCAACAACAAGACCCTCTCAGCAAACTGGTACCAGCAAAACCATTTCCCAGACTACAGCAACGCTGACTTCTCACAGACACGTAAACCTCATGGGAAGGGACAGAAAGCTCATGTGGCCAGATGGGACAAACCTTGCGTCGCCCCCCCCACCTCTTTCTTGTCCCCCATTCCCAAGCCCCAGCAGAAGGCAAGACGTAGGCACCCACAGAGAGCCCAGCACTTCCTGGGCAGGCAGTGCCTGCGCTCAGAACACGCAGCCAGAGTCCAAGAGGAATCAGCAATAGCACAAAGACACATACCGGATCTCCTACAGAGTCCGTAGACGTGAGGCTTTCACTTTAAATCCAAGACCTCCCCAGACGGGGCAGAAGCGGGTTGCCGCGGCATTCTCTCCGCTGCCTCCCTCCCCGACGGCGGCGGCGGTGACACCGGTGCGCTCTGAAGCGAGTTTCATCAGACACCACCTAGGTGGACCTCGGTTTCACAAACCGAGCCTCCCACGGCTGATCCGCCACTGACATCAGCAACTCTGGGAGTGACACCTCCCCAGCTCAACTCCTTCCTCCCGGTAGGGGGAGGAGGGCTGCCCGCTTGCTCCTTAGCTGGGAGATTTTCCCAGGGGAGAGAGAGAGGGAGAGAGAGCCTTCTAAAATGGGGGGTAATTTGCGATCCGGTGATACTTCCTGGGAAGTAAGTAAAGCTGCTTTTGAGCCCAGGCAGGAATTTGTCCTGCGGCGGTTGTAGGGAACCACTGCTGCCTGGGGTTTACTTACCCTGGACGTGAACAGGTTGGACAGGAAGAGCTACAATGCAGCAGTGGGACGCACAGCTCTGTTTTCCTTCTCGGCCATTCCCACACGCACACAAAACCCGGGGCTGGACTTGAAACATGATCTCCCAAAGCCACCGCCTCCCACTCTTATCACTTACAAATGTGAAATTCTAGTGCTTTTGACTCCGTTCTGCACCTCCCTGGGCAGAGAGAGCAAACAGGCTGCTCCCTGCCCACCAAAAAAAAAAAAAAAAAACCCAAACCCAAAAACCTACTTAAAAGGTGAGTGGCGAGTGGCTAAGGCTTATTCTGAGACTCGGAAATAATTAGATGGCAACTGTTTTTGCAAAACGGCTTACGGCAGGGAATGAGACAGGGCTTTTAAATATAAAAGAGGCCCATTTATCTCCTCATTGGATTTCTTCAAAATTCAAAACTTTATGCAAAATGTCATTCCCTGTATGGGCCTGTGATAGAACAGAAGTGGATTGGATGGGCCCAGCGGCATGGCCTAGTGGCTCAAGTCCTCACATTGAACGCCCCGGGATCCCATATGGGCACCGGTTCTAATCCCGGCAGCTCCACTTCCCTCCCAGCTCCCTGCTTGTGGCCTGGGAAAGCAGTTGAGGACGGCCCAAAGCTTTGAGACCCTGCACCTGTGTGGGAGACCTGGAAGAAGTTCCTGGTTCCCGGCTTCGGATTGGCATAGTACCGGCCGTTGTGCTCACTTGGGGAGTGAATCATCGGATGGAAGATCTTCCTCTCTGTCTCTCCTCCTCTCTGTATATCTGACTTTGTAATAAAAAATCAATAAATCTTTAAAAAACAAAACAAAAAGAAGTGGATTGGAAACCCTTGAACTTGATTCATAACTACAGTAGAATGTAGGATTGTAGGAGAGCTGAGTAATATAGAAAATGTTGACATTCCCAGTGTTCTCTTCCTCCATTAATAAAAACAATATGATGTTAATAGGACAAAACATTAGAAATGGTCAATTTAAGTGGACTTGCAGGAATGATCACATTCTTTCATCCCTCTATTCAGTTGTTATAGTCAAACAATTTATGTAAAATGAACTTAAATCAGTCTGTTTTAATAAAGAGTGAATTTTCTACCTCCCAGCCATTTGGGATACTCTGTAGAGATTTCATATATTATTACCATGACGATTCTTATGAATGTCTGCAATTGCTAGAAAAATTATTATTATTATTAAGTTTTATTAATCTTTATTGGAAAGGCAGATTTATAGAGAGAGACAGAGAGAAAGCTCTCCCATCCACTGGTTCACTCCCCAAATGGCCACAACAACTGAGCCGAGCTGATCCGAAGCCAGGAGCTAGGAGCTTTCTTCAAGTCTCCCACATGAGTGCAGAATCCCAAGCTTTGGGCCACCTCAACTGCCTTCCCAGGCCATAAGCAGGGAGCTGGATGGGAAGCGGAGCAGCTAGGATGCGAACCAGCACCAACATGGAATGCTGGCGCCCATAAGCAAAGGATCAGTCAGTTGAGGCATTATGCTGGTCCCAGGAAAATACTTACAAATTGTAGTGGCACTTGAACTAGCTGACAGATAGCTCTAAAGCTAGTGTTGTGTTGAAATTTCTGAAATCAATTTTCTATTTCAATTTTAAAATTACATTTGTACCTTTGGATTCAGAACATCAATATGAAGTTCTCTAAATGGCACTGGAGCTGAGGTGATATGGCCTCATTTCCCATTAGTTCACACAGTTATATGACTTGTTAGGGGCTCTGCATTTCACAAATGGCCCACTCTCAAAACTGACAAAAGAAACAGTAGAACAAAGCAAAGCATGTGTTACATATCCTAATATCTGTGTAGGGTAGGGTTTTTATAGAACATGGTATCTTACATAGTAGCACTATATCATACATAACAGATACGGATGTAAGTATATAAACACTATTTCAAATCTCATATTAAAAAAAAAATTTCACCAAGCCAAGATGACCATACTTCAAGAATTTAAAAAGAAACAAAAAGAAAAGGTGTTTTACTTGTCTTGTGACCCAGAATTAAGAAAATGAAGTCTGTTTATTATACAAGAGTATAACTGTTAATTAGGATGCACTATACACTGCCTATGTGCCATTGACTAGAAACTATCAGTTTGAAACTGTTGTTTTTAGAATTTATGCAGGTAACAATCTATGGGAAACAGTTTAAGGGAAGACTTAAGTATATAAAATAGGTCTTCTAGATTTCTTTCCATTCTATAAAGATTAGTTGTGCTCTTTGCAGACAAGAGTAGATTGCAGATAGCAATCTCAGATTATGTTGAGACTGCCAAAACAAATAATAGATAAGATAGAAAATGAAGGGGAACAAAATGACTATCAAGAAACTACAATAGGAAGAGAGGTTGTCTGAAGGTCATTAATTATCCTGCCTTGAAAAAAAAAAGTGTCATGGGACACTATGGCGAAATCAAGTCCTATCTTGAAAGTGAATCTGTATAAAATATTGCAACCACAGGGTATTTCCTTCATCTTTAGATATTAAGCAAGCTGGCTGCTTTTGAATAATCTGCTATTCTTACGCTTCATACGGTGAATGTGCTGAATGCTTACGTCACTTTGTTGAAACTTGTAGTCAATGCTCAGTGAGATCCTACTTTTATAGACATAAAAATTAGGAGAAATGGTCTCTTCCTGCTCCCCAGCCCGCTATTACAATGGTTCCTAAATATCTGAGGCTACTGTTCAATTGCTGAGGAGAAAAAAAAAAGACAATGCAGAGAAGTTAAAGAGCTTTCAGGAGACCTTTTCAGCCAACGTCCCCCACCCCCCCCAAAAAAAAAAACAACTTCTTAAGTACCTGCTTTGGGTGATGTCCTATTATTGTTGAATAATAAGCAGGTCTCCTATCCTGTGAGGTCTATATTGACCGGCTGAATCAAGCCAGTTGGTCTTGGATGGCACCTGGCTCTAATACTTGTAGGTATACCATCTGTAAAATGGGAGTAGCATTGCCTACTGTAAAGGGCAAGCGAGATTACATTCATGAAACAATTAGCCCTGTGCCTGGCTCAGACAAACATAGTAAGCGATAAGGCACATTGTACTAGGAAGGACTCTCAAGTCCACCAGTCTAATTTTATCCGATAGCGCACAACCACTTACTAGCAGATATGGAACTAGACGCAGTTATCTGGATCCCACATCTGTTTTTCCACTGACGAGAAACAGTTGAGTTATTCTGTTGACATTTCTGTGTCATTCGGGCCCCTGATTCTGTGAGTTTGAGGTTCTGTTGATTCCATGGCAGTTTCTTGATACACCCTAGAGGTAGGAAATCTGCCCACTGTTC